CTGGAGAGAGTCCAGCGCAGGGCTACCAGGATGATCAGAGGCCTGGAACATCTGCCCTATGAGCAAAGGCTGAGGGAGCTGGACCTGTTCAGCCTGGAGAAAAGGAGACTGAGGGGGGATCAGCGTGTATAAATACCTCAAGGGAGGCAGTGAGGAGGAGGGGGACGGCCTCTTTTCAGTGGTGGACAGTGATAGGACTAGAGGAAATGGCTTCAAACTGAAGCATCGGAAGTTCCACAGGAACTTAAGGAAGCATTTCTTCACTGTGAGGGTGACAAGCACTGGAACAGGCTGCCCAGAGAGGTTGTGGAGTCTCCTCCTTTGGAGATCTTTAAAACCCGCTTGGATGCAGCCCTGTGCCACGTGCTCTAGGTGACCCTGCGTGTGCAGGGGAGTTGGACTCGATGACCTCTGAGGTCCCTTCCAACCTTGGGCATTTTATGATTCTATGATTCTATGATTCTTTGATTCTATGATTCTATGATTCTATGATTCTATGATTATGACCTGCTGCTCTGCTGCTGTGGGCCTTCAGTCACTATTTTGCAGCAGCCTCCAGCAGGGCGCAGCATGTTTTATCTCTTTTGCAGTCCTCCTTACAGTAGAAAGATTAAAGGATCACATCTCAAAAAGATGTAAGGACTAGAATCAATACAAACTCTCCTGAATCTGCTTGTCTTCATCATGTCAAGACTCATTGACTTGAAAGATTGATACCAACATGTGGTTTAAGACCTAGCACATTTCTTTCTAAGTCTTTCTTTGCTGAATGGATTATAKTGAAAATGGCTGTGTTTGTCACGCTCCCTTCTACTGTATTTTCCTAGCTGTTCTGAGCCAAGAGCAAATGTACAAGGTTGGTAGAAAATCTATGGCAAACAAACCACTTTCCTTTTCTTGAAAGAGATATGGGGCAGGGAGGGGACAGATAAATTGCTTTAATGAAGTTCAGAAAGTTCAGTTGAGAATTTAGATAGAAAAATATTCTAAATTATAGAATTATATGATGASTTTTGCAATCTGTATTCAGGCTATAATTGAATTTTACTGTGCATCAGCCCCTGATGCTCTCTGATACTATGGAGAGCATGCCCTGGAAAAAAAAACCCAAATGGCACCTTTAGAAAACAAAATATAATATGTGTCTCAGAAATGTCATGATCTTTGGAGGTTGGGAGAATATCTTAAGAAAATACATGTTTTCCTCATTCTGAATTGGTGTCCATGGTTGAGCGCTGTCAAAAGCAGGATGATGAGCTAGCTGGATCTTTGGTTTGAGCCAATACAGTGTTTCTTGTATCTCTGTTCTTTTGTTCAACCAAGTGAGCCTACTTAAGAGTGAAAAGCGTCAAAATGGAAGAATTTGTAAACCATTTTACGGCTTTCATTTAGATAGATGGTACCTAATGTCCCTATCCTGACTGAGGGTATGAAAACCWGTCCATGAACAAGCAACCCTTTTAGTTGTAGAGTCTTTAGTTTAGAGTCTTTAGTTGTAATGGTTTGGAGAATACTAGTCTTAAAAATAAAAATAAAAATAAAAATAAAAATAAAAATAAAAATAAAAATAAAAATAAAAATAAAAATAAAAATAAAAACAAAAACAAAAACAAAAACAAAAACAACAAAAAAAAATAAATAAAATTTTCAAAAACAAAAGCACTCTCAAGCAGATATTGACAAAAATGTATTTGTATTTTGGAAAATATACCTTAGAAGTGCCCATTAGAGTGAGAGAGGCTGATTTTGCTGTGAGTTTACTTAATGATGGTTTCACATTGTCTGCAGTTGSAGACTTTGGTAAACATAAAACTTAGAATATATCAATAGGATATGTTGATATATCTTAGAATATATCAAGATGAGAGCCAAATGCCCTGTTGTCATTTGTGATGATGCAGTTGTGCAAGTGTATACCTGAAGAAAGTTATGTCCTTCAAGGACTAGTAAGGATTAGTAGAGCATTGACAGAGTTCAGAATTTGAGATATTACATATAGAAAGTGGACTTACAAGGTTTTTGTAAGAATTTGTATTCCTCCATGTATCCACTGTTCCTCTATATCTTAAGAAGAAAGRGATACTGTCATAGTACTGCGTACGGACAAATAGTCAGTTATAACATCATATTATCAACTCAGTATTTTCYTTGCAAATATCTTTCACATGCTGTGCTTTGTGCTTAACATTCAGGCAGTTCAATAGGAACAAAGGAATAGTTTCAGTAAGGATTGCTATATGGGTTTGGTAATACCTCAGATTTTTCAAAAGCTTTTTATGTGTGTGTATATATATATATGTATATGTATTGTATATTGTAAGTTGTAAAACCTATACATACCTGTGTATCAATTGGGTAGGTTAATATTTAATCTTATGAAAAGAATATACATTTTTCAGTTGTGCTTCAGAACAAAGCAGATTTTCTTCACGCTGTTTGTTCTTCTGCTACTTCATCTCAGATGAAACTCAAGATATTTTTTCATGCCATTTTAAGAGATAAACAATAACCATTAAATGCCTTAGGACTGTCCACTTTTTCTATATAGGCATGTGGAATGGTCTGGTCTGCAACTGGAAAAGTCTGATGTCTTGGAGGTGTTCTGCTTGCCCCTTCTGCTCACATGGGTGTCACTGTCTCTTTAGTCTGCTGAATATCACCCCATCTTGTTGCAACAATTTGCTTATGGATCTCTCACGTCCAAGGGGCATCTCAAACCCTATTCTAGCCCTAAGGCTGTCTTTTGGTTTGCTAATGCTATCCCTTAACCCATCTCTCTTACTTTCCACAAAATTTAACTGATTTCAGTTTTGTTCTGATGGAGAATGAAAAGACATTCAGAAACCTTGAAATATTTTAGGAATGTGAATTCTTAAATTCCAGGGATCTTTTACAGGGTCAGACTACCTATGTTCCCTGTCTGGTTAATGGTAAGAGTAAGTAGAATGTAGAATTCAASCTGTTCATGATGGTCTTACAAGTTTTCAGGATGATCTTATTAGACTATAGATGATAAAATATGGGTTATCTTGTTAAATAAGCTATATTTGCAAAATTCCAAACTCTTTTTCTAACTTTAGGGCATAGTCTCAGTTTTATATGAATCTTTATCTATTGTTAAAAGGTATTTTTTTTTTAGTTTAAGAAAATGTTTATGAAAAACAAATTTACACAAAACTTTGGGAATACTGTACAGTGCTAATAATCCATTCTTTAATCACATAATTTGCAGACATTGTTTTAAGGATATCACTTAGCTAAGAGTAAAGATTGACAAATTACATTAAAAAAAAGGAGACAGAAGAAAAGAGAACAAACAGATGATGGAAAAAAAAAAAAATAAAGGAGCAGGATGAGCCCTGGCTGTGGTTCACACTGGATGACCACTATTTGTTTCCCCTTTGTGTGCTTGGGAATTCAGCCGAATGTTAACTCTCACACAGGTTCACTGATACAGCAAATCCAGTTAACATTTCACAGCAGCCCTCATCCATTGTACATTTTTTTTTTTTTTTTAGTGAAAAGGCTGGGCAGTTACAAATGACTATGGGCTTCTTGTCCTGGTTTGAAAAAAAAAAAAAAATCTAAGATGACTATCTTTTAGGTAGTTCTTTCATTTTAAATGAAGAAACAGACTCAGTTTCAAGGAAACTCTATATATAGTTGCCTCAGAGCAGAGCACGGAGCAGGTTTCCTGGACAATAACGTTCCTATCATTGTTAATGAGGACAGGGTTTATTTTTTTTAAGGACGCTCTTCTTTTTCACAAGGATGTTAAAAATGGTGAGACTGCAAGGCGAAGAACCTATTCAAGCAGGGTAAGAAACTTGCAGTACTTTCCTGAACATATGGATGTTTCTTGCCCAGTCTCATTCTTAAAAATGAGTTACCTCTGGAGCTCTTTAGAAGAAATGATAATTTCTGTTGGGAGCTGTTTGATGGCTTAGAGCCCTTTCTGAATAGCTAGGATATTGATAAAATTTGGGAAAGGGCAAACAATTCTGACAATTTTCATTCAGCTTTGAATGATTTCATGGTATCACTGGTCAGTGAAAGTCCTTTCATATCCTTTTGCCCTAGAACACAAACCAGATCGTACATTGTTGGGGGGAGATAGTGTTTAGGCAACTTGCTAATATTGTGTTAAATCCTCCCTTTTCTTTCCAGGAGTGGCAGAAACCAGCACACTCACTGGCTCTCACGCACAGAGGTGCTGTCCATGAGGGATGTCCTGGCACATAATCTCTACCAAGTGCGACAGAGGGTGTGTAGGCAACTTTCTTGCTATCACTCCGTGTTTGCAGACCAAAGCCTTCCTCTTTGGGCCTCCTTCACAATGCAGCTCGTGGCTGGTGGCAGCAGCGGGGCCGGCCTGGCTCTCACTGGAGACCATTGGGAAGGACAGATAGCCTTGAGTTTGCTCCTTGATGGAGAACAGGCGACAGGGYTTTTTTTCCTTCAGCTTTTCAGCAGTGGGAAAAAAAAAAGGACAGTAAAATCCAGGACCGAGCTCTAGAGGTCAGGCTTCCCTCGCTGTTGGGCTATTGTGCCTCAGAAATGGCCCTTGGGAAGCTGCCAAACCCTCCTGGCATAGTTTGACTTTCCAAGTTCTCCCCTCTGGGCACATGCAGCCCGTGACCTTTTTCTGCAGGGGCTACTGTGTGGGATATTCCTATGGCAACTCCAGTGATCCTACTGATAGGGTGACCAATACCGGTGCTTGCTGGGAAAGGCGTGGGCACATTTCTAAAACAAACCACCCATAGAGGACGTTCAGGGTGGCAGACTATGTGGTGGTGGTGAACATCGCATAGCCCCAAATCCGCTGAAAGTCAGGCTGGTAAATCCCCATCCTGAGTTTACCTTCTTCTGCCATAGGAGGGGAAAGGAAAAGAACCCCCCCTTCCTCTAGAGCTTCACTTTACAGGCTTTTTCTTTATTCCTTTTTTGTTGTTGTTGTTGTTTGTGGTTTCTTTCCATAGACTGGATATAATGTCTCAACAAGGATTTGATTTGCACAAATTTATACTGCTTTTGATTCAGTTCAGAGTATAATATCTGTTTAATCCAGTCCTGTGTCCCAAGTATAGAGCTGAGTGCTCTCATACCACAAAGTGTGGTAGAGGGTATATGACGGTAACCTTGAAGTTATGCAGATAAACTGAGATAATTCGTGTAATGCACCTTTGCTAGAAAATGCTAGGCTTTGCTCATTTAAATGTGTCACTATTAATATGATATTCTTTCCTAATACTGTTTGATTTGCCATGGCCAATTATCCCTAAGATATTAATTTCTTATCTTACTAGAAACAATTTGCATATACACTTGCCTCATAGATTACTGAAATGAACTTTCTGTCTTCAAAATCAATTACAGTAATGTCCATTTGTGYCAGTCATTTCCTATGTGGTATTGAGAATTGTGTGCTTTTGGAAATAAAAGATAGGAGGTAAAATGGTACTAATTTTAATATTTTGTGTTAAACTTTTAAGACTGGGTGATGCTCTGGTTCACCAGACTAATTTCACTAAGACAAGTGCAATTAGAACCAGATCCTACATTTCAAGAAAGTTTTTTAAATTGAAATGGACTTTTCTCTTTGAGAAGGATAACCATTTCCCTAATATCAAAATATGTACACAATAAATCAGCAAATARGAGACAAATAAATAATCTTGTCCTAATGAAAAAGCCAGTTTTAAGACAATATTAAGTTGTGGTTTGACTGGGTATGGTCAAGGAATGAGGTCAAGGTCAATCTGAGCAATGAAGCTCAGATATGTATTTAATACTGGAGATGCCTACCTGATGCAGTCYTTTGCTCCTGAGCATTTGCTCTCTTGCATGTATGCAAAAAGAATCAATTGCTTGCACTTTCTGTTTCAGGCACCATCATATAGCCGGCACAACCTGTCTAYGGACACAAGTGAGAAACAAGCTCAAGAAATCCTCATCCGTCGGCAGCATAGCCTGAGGCAGAGTTGCAGGAAAGGAAACAGCCTGCCTTGGGGTAGACCGGTACCTGCTAAGCAAATTACTATTCATTTGATCAAGACATATAGAAATGCCTCCGTGTGTCTGTAAATAAAAAAGACACCCATTTTTWTTTGCTTTTTTTGTAATAGTTAAACTGGATATTTTTAACAATATCCTCATGCAGTACCTAACAAGGAAGAGCTTTACGTAGCATGCAGACAGCAACGTTTGTTATGTCCTACTTCTGGTCAGAAAACAGCAACGATGGCTGTAAGCAATAAAGTAGCTTGCAGTGGTTTGGCACATGTAAAACAAAGTATGATCACACCTATGTGACCCTGTGAATTGACAAAGGGCCTGACCCAGCTCTTGATACCTTGCAGTGGGCTCTAGATTGGAGGGAGACAGTAAGATGTACCTGACTAAATGTAACCACTGGATAGCGTGGTCATTAGCAGCTGAGATGATAATCACAGCTCAGGAGGAGAAGCAAGCTCTTGCTGGGTACAATTGATTTTATTTAAAGTGGTCACCTAAAATAGGAAAGGTGGATTTTAGAAGAACATACATCTCTCCACTAATTGTAAAGAAAACCTAGAGCAACTGTTTCAGAAACACAGATTTTCACTGGAGATGAAGCCAAGTCCAACCTAGCTAAGCCAAATGTTGATCTTACTCATACTTCTCTAAACTTGGCACTAAGGCTGCAGGCACAGTAGGAAAAGGCTGTAACTGTTCCTCTTTACCGGTTAATTACCTTGTCCTACCAAGTGCAATTTCTCCTAATACCTCTCCTTTTTGCCCTGAATATGTAAAATATTCTGAAATGGTGTGTCATTAGATACTTATTCTCTTATGTTCTGCTGAGTAAGCACAGTGCCATCACTGTTCACTGGAGGCTGCAGTAGCTACGCTTTGCTGCCTAGAGAACGGGGCTATTCGAGGTGTGAGGGGAAATCAGAGGCACTGATTGCATTCCTGTCTTTGTACGCAGGCTGGCACGGAGGCTGTACGCTACCTTTCGCTGCCACATGGCTCCCGTCAGCCTGCCAGGCGAAAACCCAGGCGTGTGACTTTTAGAGGTAATGTGAATGCTTTGCTCTGTATCCTACTCTGGTAGTGAAAGAAACTGGGTCGACTGTTCTGTATGTTTAAAGTAATAAATGAATACTCCCAAGGAAGTCCAAGGTCCATTGAAATGCGTTACACCCTTCTCTCCTATCTGTTTATCTATTCTGTTCATGTGGACATGACTGCTGCTCCCATCTTGTTCCAGCACCACCTACTTTTCTCTTTTATTCTTCTTGCACAGACATTCCTGTGATCCCTGCAATTTGGCCTGCCCATGAGGACACYCTGAGAGCCCAAGAAAGTAAATAGAGTGTTTTCTGCAGCCTCACAGACACAACAGCATGTAAAAGTATTAACAGTTGCTAAATCCAATAGTGCAATAGATACAAGGCTGCTGCTGCTCCATGTGCCAAGGTCCAGTCAGCAGCAAGGCTAAGCGGGGTATTCCCAACAGACATATGCACACACACAATGTGCATATACATATATACATGGTAAGCAATGGAGATCAGCTAAAGCAGAAAGCACAGCTCTCACACAAAGCCAAGCAACAACAGCGGCTTCATCCTGTTCCCTTCCTTGGCTGGTCAAGATGAAGATCCATTAGTGGAAAAAATATATACACACATACAATGTGGATCTTCCAGTAACTGGCCTTGGGCATTCACCTCACTCAGTAGCTGCTCTAGATCGCTGGTCTGCCCGGTTGCTTGCACCTGGACATAGGAGCCTCACTCATGTTGCTGGTGCATACTCACACAGATGAACTGTGGATCTCCCAGTAACTCATCTTAGACATCCCATCTTCCCAGCGGCTGGCCTATGGAAATCCTAGTCTCTCAGTTACCGTGCATACATGCATCTGGCTTTCTGCAGTAGCTGTCTCTATGACCTCAGGTCCATGGCATCCCCAGATGCTGGCCTAGACCTCCAGTATCCAACTCACAGTCTGGTCCGTGCAGTAGCAAACTCATAGGCTCTCTGATCTCTCCAAACCGGCCCCATGGTCACCCTGACACATGGCTCCTAAGCCTGTTATGCTGCGTGCTGACTAGTCCAGCTTGTTTGCTAGAGATCACACACTTCCACACACTGCCGGACATTGCATATACACTCTGGTCTCTCCCAGGGCTGCCGCCGTGGGCAAATAGCCCCTCTGACTCATGGTTCCACCACAGGGGAAGGCTCTTAGAGCCCCATGCACATGCCAAATAGCCCCTCTGACTCATGGTTCCACCACAGGGGATGGCTCTTAGAGCTCCATGCACATGAGCTAGACTCTTGTCACCTGGGCAGTTAGAAATGAGTTTATTATGAAGACTGTTGGTCAGGTGCAGAACATTGCCAGACAAGACTACTAAACAGCACATATATACATGGGACTAGTTCATTCCTTTTATCTCTCTGTTTTCCCTCACTTGTTTCTCCCCAAATTGTCCTGGTCCTTCCTTTTCACCGCCTTTGGTCCCCTCACCTTTGGTTCCTCTTTGTACAGTCTTCTGAAGCTATTCCCCTGCATCCCAAAATGAGCTCCACACTCCTTAGGCAATAACCTTGGTCTGCAAGGTGACAGGGAAAGATCCTTTCCTCCTGAAGAAGCATCACGGTGAGTCTCACTCTGGTCAATCCCCGTAAGCAGCCCAGGAGGGGCTAGAGCAGGGCAGTCCTTTCTCTGATCACAGTATTGGGGGTCCTCTGCCTGCCCTTGTGCCTATGGTCTTCTTTGTGTTCATTAACCAAATAACTKAAGATGAACATATGGCACAGTCTGTCCTCAAATATCTGTTTTCTTCTCCCCTTTTTCTAGCTTATCGTCTGTATTTCTGTAACAGTATTGGTCTCACTGGAACAACCTATCAATTGCCAGTGTGAGCGCTGCACAGGTTATCACAGGTACACAATAAAATGGAGTTTAGGGATAGAAGCAAAAGTGGAGTAACACTGAATTTCCTCTGGTAAATACAGGATTGTGTCAGAGAAAATGTGCAATTTAAGGCATTTGAGTATGCATCTTTATCTCCATTTGCAGTCTCCCTACTCTTTTCTGACTTTATTCAGGTGATTCTGAAATGCATTTGGATTGCTTTGAAAATTATGTTTTAATTTCTGGCAAATCAATACATTTTCACTGAAGTGCAACAATATTTTTTATCATTTTCTTTGTATCAAAATTTGGGTAACCAAGTTGATTTTTTGCAGGTACAAAATTACTTTCTTTCTTCCCTTTCTGTTTTGTTTTTAAAAGAGATGAAAGCAAATCTGACCTGTGCAGGCAAACTGTCACCTGGAGCTTGTTTGGCACATGCACATGTGCTATGAGCAAAACAGAAACCTAAAGGGTCTATTCAGAAAGGAAAGTCAAAGTTATTAGACCAAGACCTACTCTCAGAAACAGTTCCCTTATTTCAGTAGGGAGATGAGCAAACCCTGAAGCAGTGAAAGTGGGTACATTTACACTAATAGCTGGCCCTGAATGCGAGTCCTTTGTTGTGCTCTATACAAATAAATAGACTTCTTGGCTCTGCTTCTGACATCAAGTCAGATCCCTGGGGTAACATTCACACCATTTAAATGTCTACAGTAAGAGGAAGCCACCTAAACTCCTCTCATAATCTGTGCTTGGTTGAGATGACTTGTACTCGGGAACATAAAAGAGAAACACTCCATATGTAGGAGATTAGAAGGACAACCTCATTTATACACATCTGCAGAACTAAATGACACTTCTGACTATTCCTGAAAGCCCTCCTAAAACAAATACCCTCTGAACAAGCTGGATTTGGCTATGTAAAAAATAGGTGTATGCAAAAAGTGTAGTAACTAAGAGGTCAAAAGTAGCTTAAACTGCCTAGCAGCACTTCTTGCCATTCATACCAAAGAACAAGTTCATTACTGGTATGTGCTATGCTCTGAAGCAGTGATGTCATCAAAAAGACAGTCCTTAGCATAAACTTTTTCCTTTCAAATATGAAAAAAAAAACGCTCCTGGGGCAGCTGCAGTTTGCCCATATGGTCTAGCAGAAGTGGAGCTCAGCTGCTAATGTAATCAGTGACTCGCAGTTGAGGTAAGTGATGGTGCACATATTTTTACTCTGCGACAGCTGCGAAGTTAACATTAGCTTTAAATAATTTTACTGAGACTAAGGTGTGATAGACCTTTTCTGTGTGTTTGTACCTGATGCATGTATGTTTTAACTGATCTTATTATTCATAGGCCTTTGATTTTAAATCCTGACACTTCCAAGCTTACTGTAAGCTGAGTTTTTTTCTTTTTTTGGTATTAAATAACTAACTTATTAGTGCATAATCAGACTTCACGTGGGCTGTAATTAAGCAAAGTAAATAAAAAGGTGTATTCTGTAAGCCAAATGGAATAAAAGAACCAGCTATATATGGTATACTTGGAGTCTGGAAAGCCAGCAAGAGCAGGTCAGGCACACTCAATGTAATCAAAGCACTGTAGAGTGCTGAAACGTCTGGTTTCAGATGGACTGTTTTTGGGGGGGTTTTTTTCCTCTCTCTCTTTTTTTTTTTTTTTTTTTTTTTTTTTTGTCTCTTTTTAATGATTACTGGTAAACCTGATTTTTAGTGACATTAAAGTCTTGTCCTTGTTCAATTTTTCCCTACTGCTGTTGCTTTTATAAAGCCTTTGAACTTCCTGTCAGCTCTGCTTGTGAAACTTGAAAAAAAAAAAGAATGCTACATAAAGAAGATCGCCCTGTGATGACAACAGCAGCTCTTCAAGCTGCTATCAGCTGAAAGTGCTCCCTCACTGATATTTCAGAATAGAGACAAGATCAATAAAATMTTGTATACATCAACTTTGGGAAAAAAATGAAAATTTAGGATTATTTTTAGTTTTCCTTGAGAGCTGTCTTTAATAGTACTTAAAATGCTTCAGTTCCAACACTTAAAACAGTAATGCTGTATATTTTATTGAATACCCTTTAATCTGATGTTGCTAATACCACAGTCCTTCCCTTTCTCTTCTTGCTGAAATGAATCCTTTGTTTTTGTTTTTCTTTCAGATTATYGTAGTGGGGACTCTGATTGCATGCTCCCAGCAACATTCAAACCCCAGCCCCRTCTACGACCCCTTGAAGTGAAGTACCGCCAGGAAGAGCTTATTCCAATGGCACGGTTAGATAGACTTGCCGGTTCCTCCAATCTGTCAGGTCGACGAGGAAAATCAATCACCAGAGTAGACACTCTAAAGCCAAAACCTCGATTCACTTTGGGGGAAGTAAAAGAGTATGAGTCAGAAGAAGAGACAGAAATAATGGCACCAGCCAGGCCATTAGACATATGAGAAGTGCAGAGGAGAAATGTTTGCATCTCCAGGCACTGCTCCAGAGAAAATAACAAAACTCTTATATGAATCAAACCATAATTTTTCTTCTGGGGCCAGTGCACTCATTCTTGTATCACTTTCAAGCACTGTATCAAGGTACACTGTGCCTCAGGGAAGACTCAAATTCTAATGCTTAACATTAAACTTGCCTTCCAAAAGAGACGTTGAGAGAGGGCAATATGATCTTTGTAGAGGTTTATATGGGGATTTAAATGACAATAGTTGGATACATGTAATGATGTTGGTGAAGGCTGGTATTGATTTCCTCTATATTCTGTACCATGGTATTAATCTAGAAGAAAGAAATACTTAAGGACATGCTTAAGTTTGGACATAGGAGTGCCCAGACTATTGACTTCAACTTGCTATGGGTTATTGACCTCAAAGTAGTCAAGGTATCCTGGGAGACTTTTTTTTTAAGCATTTTTCTGGCACCCAAATACCACTGAAGGGGCCTAAAAGGATTCCTAAAAGAATTGTGTAGTGTACCTTTCTGTTGGCAATCCATTGGTGTCTGAGGTTTTGGCTCCACAGAGTGCCTACAGTTGTTTGCTGTGATGGACCACAGCTCCTCCAGCTTCAACCAGTTTTAACATGTAGACATCTGCACCCATCTGCACCTGTTCAGGAGGAATAAAGGAGACATCCTGGTACATGCAACTCCACGGAGGCCTCTTCAGGCAGGAGTGCAGCAAGAACCCTAACACGACATTCAGCATTTTTATCTCTGAACAGGACCATCAAGAATACACCCAATAGTCCAGTGGTTAACTGCACTAGTCCCTTAAACAGGGGACTTCGACTGCAAAGAAAAGTCCGACCTCCACCTTCTCTTCCACCTTGCTCAAAAGTGCCCAGATCACAAGACCAATCTTCACACTGGAGCTGGACCAGAACGGGAGTTGGAGGAGTTGGGAAACATGAGAATGGGACTGAAGGAAAAAGGAAGCTAACTAACTCTAGCATATTGGCATTGAAGAAGAGCCCTGTATTTTGATTTCAGGTTTTTGGTTTTTTTTTTAATGTCTGCCTAGCTGTTGCATTTGACAAAAAAAAAAAAAAAAAAAAAAAAAAAAAAAAAAGGCAGAAATACCTCAACAGTCAACAGAGGGAAAGTGGGAAGGTGTACAACCCAACCCTCCCACCACGCTCCCTTCCAACTGACTGTGTGAGTACGTGCTCCAGCCTCCATGGTGGCTGTGCACAGTGGTAAGGACACTTTGCTTAGGAAGTGTGAAGGTCTGAACTTGAGTCATTTTGGATCAAGCCTAAAATTTCAGTCACCTAGTTTCTCTGCTTGAGCTCTCTTCTCCTAAATGGAAGCAGAATTGCCACTGTCAGCTGGACTTTAAAAATGTGGGTGAGTTGGTTGTACCCAAACAGGGGCACTAAACTCACATCTGCAGCTAAGAAAGACATCAAGTTCAGTTTTGCTTTATTCACATCATCTTCTCTCTCTCTCTCCTCTACTCAGAACTTGCTTAGGTTCTCCCCTCTAGGATTTTACTCTGCAAATCAGGGAGAAATAGAGATAGCAATGCTGTCTCTGTGTGTTCATTGTTTGTAATGTTCACTGGGTCATAATGAATTGTCTGTACTGAAATTGTACAAAGCTTTCTGAATGTTTAAGTGCTATTTACTTTTCTATATTGTGCCAAGTGAAACTATCCAATTTCCTTTCATGAAATCCAATGGCACACTATAAATGCAGCAGGTAGGTTTTGGCTTTTGTACCAACTATGACTAAACAAGGAAGTACAGTTCTATACCTGAAAATCAACAAGTAAACCCAGATTCAGCATAACATGAGAATTGATGGGAAAAATATCCAAACCAACCAAACAAAATGAAACACCCCAAATAGCTTTTAAATAAAAACCTTATGTCAGGTCTACATCTTACAGCAAGCTATATTGAGGTATCATCAAACCTCAGTAAAAGCATTATTTTAACAATGAAACAGGATGATTGCACAAGATCAGGTGCAATCTGAATTAAATTGCACTATGAACTATGCAGTAACTGTAAATTGCACTATGAACTATGCAGTAACCACAATAAATTTAAGTGAGGGCAAAATCAGCTTTCTAACATAGCCTGACATAGTCCTTATGCCACACAACTGATGTAGGTGAATGGAGGAGGGCAATGGGCCTGCTTTCTGTGTTGAAAGGGTGAAGAAGTGCTCATGTCTCATCTTCAAAGGTAGGCTCAGGGCAGAGAATATGAAGGAGATTAAATGAAGGAATTACTACTGTGAGCTGCAAATGCAGCATTTTCTCTTTAAGAAGATTTAATGAAGGAGCTGTCTGGGAAAGCTGGACAGGTACAAAGTGGGCAAGAAGAGGAAGGTTAATATCTGGAATAATATGGAAATAAGCCTAAAGGATACACCATGAAAAAGAAGGATCTATTCAATTTGGTCAGAGTGACTTTAAAATGCATGTTTAAAATCAACTCTCAAATTCTTTATTAAAATATTTAACATGTTGTATGTGATTATCCATAATGAATAGGAAGTAAATTATTCAGTTTCAGATGACCATTTATATTAGAATCGGATAAAATAATAAAGTCTTTCTAAAATCCAAAGAAAACCCATGCCTAGCCGGAGTAAAATCTCCCACTTTTGGTCCATTTATAATATTTTCTCAAGAAATCAATGAGCCGCATCTTCAAATAGATCAAAGCTGTAGAACAGCTAGAGAAGTTAATGGAGCTCTCCTGGGTTTGTAGTCTGACCCCAAACTTGTAAAGTCTAATTTTAGTTTGCTTTCCTACCAATTAGGAAATAGGACTGCAGGAAATTCTTCTGTGCCGTTAGTTGCTATTAATGGGTCTGCTGGCCATTAGCCAAGAAGCAATGCTGCAGATGCCCATATAAAATATATGTCAATAACTACCAAGTTGTACTGTTTTGGGKTTTTTTTTTTCTGTTTATTTACATGGGACTGCTCATAGAAAATAAATATCCTTAAAGAAATGTATTGGCTCTAGCTAGAATAACAATAACTACAGCAGCAGATACCACAGATAACTAACTTTGTTATGGACTCTGAGGTCTTTAAAAAATTTGAACTAGTTTTAGGGTATGAGTTTAAACCCTCTTTAAGTCCTCATGTTTAGGTACATTCTTAAATTCTCGTGTTTCTAAAATTAGAAAGGTAATTTAATCCACTGCCTCCTGGTTTACGCTGGTACAATGTTATTTACTCAGGAATTTGCATTAGACTAACTAGTCTCTTTTATACACTGATGTAAAATGAACTGGCACAGGATACTCAGGCCAGAAGATGAAAAATTATTATGGGAATTTGGGGAATTAATGCAGGAAATTGACTGTTCTTTTGTGGCAGGAGGAGAGTCCAGGGCAGGTGAGTTTCAGGAMAGAATAATAATAATGAATTGCTTCTACCTTCAATAGTAGAGAGAAAATCAAAGATACCAAAGATACACTTGAACAGAACTTGCAAATCAATGAGATATATAAGAAAGTAAAAAGAACAGTGATAACAAGAAAATGTTTTAATATAAAAAACAACAGCAATCAGAATATTGTGAAAAGAGGGAGTGGGTTATCAAGGTAAGTAACACATTTTGAGCAACCAACTGCACTTATTATGTGGGATGATTAACTGTGAGATCCTGTTCTTCTTGCTGCAGCTATTTCTCTTCATCTAGTACCATAGGCAAGTATGAACTTGTAGGAAAAGGAGCATCTTTTCCCCCAAGAGTTTCCAATCAAAGCAGCAGCATGGGGGGCAGCGGGGGCAATCAGGACATGACAGGCACTAGAACAACAAGCGCCTGTTTGGGGCAAGGAGACATCTCTGTTTTCAGTAATACCATTTAACCAAGCACTGAATGAGGACAGTGGTCCTACCACAGAGAAAAGTGGTCTCCACTGGGAATTTTAACATTCTGTAATCAGTGTTTCAGGCTGCAGAGGCTGTTAAAGAAGGAGGAACTGTGATCATTTTCAGCCTGAAAAAGTTAGCTTAATCCATATTAATGAGTGAGGTAGTCAGATACCTGCTTTAAAGAGGATGGGTGATATCTAAAGCTGAAATCATCAAAATGCTATCGATAAAGTTACAGGGGAAAAAAAAAAGCTTAGAAGTGTCTTATTTTCTTGCTGGAGACTACTATTTAAATGCTTGTGTGAGACTCTGGAGAACATACACATTTTTCCAAATTTCTTTTTTTTTATGTTTTTTTTTTTTCTAATTTTCTATCTACTTGCGTGTGTAGAACTCAAACATTAAGAGTGGAAAACCAGATTATCTTATCTTTATATTTTGTTTGCTTTTTGGGTAGGACAATTAGGTTTATTGTTTTGTCAAACACACTATACTTAAGAATACTTAAGAACCTTAAAATCAAAGGCGCTTGTTAGGTAACATGAGTAATATTCTGACCCAGCTAGGAAGACTGGAAATCTATTAAACCCAGTTACCTAATTTATTTTCAGTCTCAATCTTAATTGCATGTGAAACTCTTTTTTTTTTCTTCATTGGTTTCACAGATGTAAAATTTCAAAAGCCAATATAGGTTCTTGTTTATTTCTAGTCCCTCCTTCCTCCTGGAACAATTAGGGTTTCTACTGCCTTTCAATCACAAGAAATGAGAGATGCATTGCAGAAAACAACAACAAGTTCAGATTTCCCTTGCCTTGGCAGGGCAGATACAACTGTATACTAACACGCRGTCAGCAGTAGGCAGCTTAGTTGTACAATATCCCCAATTTACCGCTGTTTTTCTTGCTGGAGCAAGCTAGATAAAAAGAGATAACTGCCATGAATGTCTGTTAGGGGCCACATATTAGTCAACCCACAACTTATCATCTTGCTTGCAACTCCAGTCACTAGTCTACTCAGGGCTTTTCCAGAACAGACTATTCTGCTAAATGTAAAATTGCCATAAAATAAGCTTCAAGTCAAACTGCCCTTGTGTGGTTG